CCGTAGCAGGCAGTGTCGAAATGAAGGCCTGTCCCGATAATTTCAATTATGCCTGAATGTCGACTGTGCTGGCGGCAACGATGCTATTCAGTTGCGCACGTATTGTGTCACTGTAGGCAGTAACAGCTATGACTGTCTGGACACATGTGTGCCTCTGCGTCGTAGTCGGTCATAGCTGTCAAATGGACTGTAAATACCAGGTGTGCTGCAATGAAAGTGGGTAACTCTGTAACGGAAGGGTTTTAAACAAAGTATTCATGTCGACTTTGTAGTCAACTATAATGCCGATAACAGCCATTTAAGCGCGCAAGGCAGTACATATGAGGAAGACACTGGCAGTGAATTTGCTAATTCTATTTCGAAGTGGAATTTAGCTCCCCTTCTGGGCTAAGGTGTTTAGAGAACACCGACTTCAGTGTAAAACGGCTCCCTTACAAAGTAAACGGATTCATATTCAGCGTTCAGAGAGACGCAGAATAATAAGTTACATAGGAAGCCTCCAAATGTATGAACCCTCTTGGCTAATAGTTTTGCATCAGTCCATATCCATCGAAAATTACCAGGAGGGAACAAATATGTTGGCTTCACAAATACTGCAGTTAAGCGACCGTCAAAAATAATTCCTTCACACATTGAAGTTGTATTGAAGGAGATAACTGCAACTGGGATCGCAGGCCTGCATTAAACCACGTAAAAAGATAAAAGCACAAAGAAAATAACGTGGAAAGATTGTTAAAACCTTGAGAGGCACTTACCCTGATTTCGCAGTCAAACCGACCTCTTCCTCTGCAAAAAATAAAACAGTAGATATGTAAATAAAACAATTCTCATGTCAGGTGAGAAATATACGCCCTTTTTGGGACTATTCAGAATAAACTTCAGTGTAAAGTTCACTAGAGAACATGTGAGCAACAAGAGCAGATTTTTAGGTGCTGCAAGAGAAAAGACACTATGCAGGGCTTTCTGTCTGCAATATTTGTGCATGCAAACTCTCCGCATCGGAAAAACTGTCATTATAGTTACGGAAGAACTATAAAAAGTAAGCAGCTATTGATAAGGATGGTAACGTGGATAAACGTGACTCAAGTGACTAACAGTTAAGCGACTATTTGTACAACAGCAAATGGCTATGGAAAATTGGCTTATTTTGTTTTCTCACAATTTATCATACCATTTGAAAATGACACCTGAGTTTTTGACGGCTTGCAAAGACATACATTAACATTTCGGAGTTCGACCC